CTGTGCCTTGCCTCAGTGAGTGGCACTAAGGTCCTAGACGCATCCCTCCTCATCCCCTCATTAAGGCTTGCTCATTCTATTTCCTAAAAATGCTCTTGCCTCTGTCCACTTCTGCACATCATCAGTATATCTCCGCCTTCATCTCTACTGCCACTGGCCTCCTTCTGGGCCACTGTTTTGAGTCTGGACCACAATAGAACCTGCTAATTGATCTCTGTACCTTCAGGTTTAACCCCTCCAATCCTGTCTTCTCATCATACGATGATAATTCTGAAACACAGATCTGGTCCCGTCATTCTCCTCCTTGAGCATGCTAATGTCCATCATTCCCAGAGTAATAAAATCTTAAGCTCCTTAGCTTAGCATTTTGGGTTCCTCAGGGTTTCCTTTAGTCATTCACTAACTTCACCAGCTTCATCTCTAGCAACTCCCTTGCTGCTTCTTCATCACCCCCACCCGCTGTAAACTTGAAGTGGGGGACACTCCACATTTCACCTCCAGAATTGTGCCTGTACTGTTCCTCCTGAGAACACCTTCCTCACCTCAACCCTAACATGCCAGGCTAGCTCCCTCCCCAATCTCCTAAGACCTCTGCTAACTTCCTATTCTTCCAGGAATTCTTTCCTGATCCTCAGACAGAACTAGTGACTTTTCCATGACTCCTTTTCTCATAGCACTTCACCCCTGGCAAGGGAGAATCTGAGCAACTTCAGGGCAGAGAGCTACAGAGTCTTGCACATCCCTTAGACTCAGCATGGCCGGTGAGCACCGAGCACACGGAAGGTGTCAGTGCATGTTTGCTGAACGAACAAGTGCATGAATGAATGACCTTCCAAGAGTTTCTGGGGCCCCTTCCCTCCTGAGAGTCCCTGCTTCCTGTCCTCTACTGCTCCATTCCCAGACAAGTGCAGCCAACTGGAGCATGTCAGCCTCAGGTTGTTTGCCCTGTGTGAGCTCTCACTTGGTGTCCTAAGCAATCTGAGCCACCCTTCCATGAGCTGCTGCTTTGCCAAGCAGATATTTGACTACCCTTGAGCTCAGCCTTATCCTTCCATTAGGTGCTAGTCTGTTCATCTCCTCCCTGAGGGACTTATGCAGCTGCACCTCTCCCATTATGGTCTTGGCAATATAAAATATTCCCAACGTTAAGCATATTAATGCCCCCCCAAAAGAAGAGGATCATCTTGTCACAAGTTGATGATTCTGCAGGAACATAAACCAGGTTAGCCTTCTGGAATTTGAAGGTGAGGAAGACCTACTCTTAGAGGCCTCTATTATGAGCACAAGGCTGTGCTCCTCTTCCCCCTCCCCCTACTCCCCACCCTATAGCACCTTCATGCTGACCTCGCAAGCTCAGTGAGAGGTGCCGGAAGGCAGGCCTGCTAACCCAGGTGGCCCCAGAGCTTCAGGCAGAGGACTCTCCAAGAGGCCATGTTGTTACCCTACTGCTGTCTCTCTCTGAACTTTTGACCTATTAAATGCCCCAGATCTGACTCTGGTGCTGCTTCTGCCAAGTTTCATTTTCTAATTGTGCCATTGACTTCTTAAAAACTAATCAGTAGTTTGCATTGACTCTTATCAAGGCTTCAAGGGTTGGAAGCCCCAAATTGCTGTTCCATTAACTTGCTAGGTGAGCTGGAGCAAGTTTCTTCCTCTCTCTGGGTCTCTCTTTATTGCAGTGGACCAATTGTAACAAGTTAGACTCCAGAATCTCCATTGAACAGGAGTCAGCAGTCAGAGTTTGTGGAGTGATGCCAGTTGATTTCATCAAGTGTGCTGGCCCCCATCTGTCATCTATACCACAGATTATACAGAATACACTTTCTCATTGTTGGCTCATCCAGAAAACTGGCACCCTTGCCATCTCTTCAGGAAGCATGAAGGAAAGCATATGCAAATACGTGTGGCTGCAACACCTTGTTCAGGCCTCACAACGCCGTCATCAGCCCCAGTGGAGGAACCTGGAGTTTAGAAAAGCTAAGCACTTGCCGCATGCTGTGCAGCCAGTGGGTGAAGTTAAGATTGGAAACAGGTCTGTCTGACTCCAAAACCCACTTTTTCATTTTCAGAAAACAGTGAGTGGTTCCTTGAGATCAGAGTATAGGGATTGGGGGTAGAGAGTGGCAGAGACCAGAGATAGCAACAATCAATTTTTGCAAAGCCTTTAAACCAGGGGTCCTCAAACTTTTTAAACGGGTCCAGTTCACTGTCCCTCAGACCATTGGAGGGCCATCGGAGAGTGCGGCACACATTCCACACATGCGCACTGTGGGCCCCGGACGAGTCGGCTGCTAAGTAGGACAGGCAACGGCAGCAAAACCACCCAGCTGGCCGGATAAATGTCCTCAGGCCATAGGTTGAGGACACTTCCTTTAAACTGAGGGCAAGGAGAGCCACTGAATGGATTTAAAGAGGGAAGAACATGATCAGATTTGTGTAAGAAAGATCACTTTGACTACAAGAGAATGGATTAGAGGGAGAGACAAGACAAGCTGCTGTAGTAATCCAAGTGAGAGATAATAGTATATTCCAAGTGCATATAAAAAAAAAAATGGGATCTGGACTAGCAGGCTGACTGGCTTCAAGAACGAAGGGAAGTAGAAGATTAGAGAGTAAGAGAAAATCTACAGAAGTTAATGCCTGATTAGATTTGGGGAGTGAGGGAGAGGTAGCAATATGACCCCCAGGTTTCTTCTTTGGGCATTTTGGGTGGATTATAATGCTGTTCATTGGGATGGGGAACACAGGGGTAAGCAGCAGCTTGGGAAGGAAGTTAGTTCATTATTGGAGATTCTGAGTTTGTATATCAGAAAGAGATGTTCCAGGGGCTTAGTATGTTGTCTGGAGCTCACGAGAGAGGTCCAGGCTGGAGATGGTGATCTTCAGGGGTAGCTGAAGCTCAGGATTTGGATGAAGTCATCCAGTGTGTGGAGTGGGGAGAGGTCAAGGACAGAGAGTGGGGCACATGGCCAGGCACAGGTGGGAGATCAGTGCCTGCCCACTAGATGGCTGGTGGCCTGGGGGTCGGGGCTAGGACATTCACTTGGGCCAGGGGAAGCAAATTGAACGATTTGTCCAGCAATGAGGGAGGAGCCAGATGAAGTCAATAGAAAACTAATTTTCTTTTCTGCTGGAAGAAATGAGGTGTGTGGCCGCTGGGTAATTGCAGATAACGAGGGGACTTATTCTTAATATGCACAGCAGCCATGGTCCCCAGAGTGCAGGAGACAGGAAGGATTGGAGGTGCCCTGACAGGGCCAGGTTTATTTGAGAAGAAAATCTCCCTATCGTAGCCCCTCCACCAGCACCATCTCAGCCCCTGGGCCCCATCATAAACCCTCCCCCTCCCAGGCCCCTTCCTGTCCCATTCCCCTTCTTGTCAACTGCCTAGCTCCTCCTGTCACAGCCCCCTCCCTCCACCCCCCTCAACCCCCACAGCACAGGCATACACACTAAGGGAGACAAATGACGGGGCCTCAGCTGAGCGGGGTGCGTGTCCGGCCCATAAACCACGGGGATGGGTCACGTCTGGAGTTGCCATGGCCGCCACTACCCACCCATCTGTCTTCCCACTGTTCTGCCTCAGACCAGGCCTCATGGCTTCCTGAGTCCCTGAGGGAACAAGGTGTCCCTTCTTCATGCCCACACCTACTGTAGGACCATCTGTGCTGAGCTCTGCAAACCAGGCTCCAGAGCTGGTGTCTGGCAGACCAGAGACTCCACCCTCTCCCACAGCCCTTTTCTCACACTGGAGGGTCCCAGTTCCAAGGCTAAGGTCCTGGCAAAAGTGGGCCTGGGGGCTCAGTGGAAAGGGCTGGTCTCTGACAGATGCAGAGGCCTCCTGACCCCACCTTGACCTTACCACCACCTCCACGCTTGATTATGACATTGATGTGCATTATTTCCTCAATCACAGCATTGATCCCATGAGGGCTGGTGGCGGCTGAGGCTCTGGTTAAGTCCCCAACATCTAAGGGAAGTGGGAGAGGAGTAGGAGGCGAGGGGGGTGAGGGGATGGTGAGTGGTGGCTGCTTTGGGCAGCTGAACAGAAACACTCAGGCTGTTTCCTAGGCCTTCTCCAGTGGGGTGAGCTTTGGGCAGTGGCACCTCCTGCTGGTGGTGGTGGCAGTGGAACAAGTCCTGGCCCGTGTTCATGATTCTGAGGCTCCTGGTCCTGCAGCCTCCAGGATTCTAGGAGTCGAAAACTACTTGTGATAGGGTCTGGCACACGCAGGCAGACAGGGCCCAAAAGGGCGGCCAGCATGCACTTTGAGACGGAGGCAGGGATTGGGCTGGTGTACACAGGAGTGTCCAATAGAGGGCTGATGGCCAAGGCTGTGAGAACCACAAACCTGGACCCTCCCCAACCTGTCTGGGCCTACACAGGAACAGGTGCCCAGGCAAGCTACTGTTTGATCACACAAGCCAGGGGCACAGGGCAGGTGTTTCCCGGGGCCCTGGTCCAGCAGTGCCTTGTCACCAGTGATTATGGCTTGGGTCACATCTCCTACACACACGAAAGTGCCGGCAAAGTCACCCTGGCTGTGGGCGTGATGAATGGCCGCACAGTAATGAAATGGAGACATCAAGGCGGGTGGCGGGAAGACGGAGTGTGGCGGACGGGCCGTCCCCACGCGGCGGCAACAAGAAGGATCGCCCAGCGGCCGGGGGCCGTCAAGGGAGAAATTACACATTTACTCTGCCTTTTTCTTACTGCGACGGCACCCATACATCACCGCTGGGGCCGGGGCGGGACATGCCGGCCAATTTCCAGCATGAATTATGGGACTGAGAAGCATTGAGACCAGGCTTCCTGCCGGCCTAGCCCAGCCTGAAGCTGGAGATGGCCGCCACCAGGGCATGGGATCTCCCTCTCTAGAGTCTGTCGCTCCTTGATCTGACCCTGCATCTCACCCCCACCCCCACCCTTGTAAGAGCACCTATGGGCATGAGGGAAAGGATCCGGGGCCCATCTAAATGTCTTCTCTTCCTCTTTTTAGATGACTGCAAGAACATTGCCAACATCATGAAGACACTCGCATATCGAGGCTTCATCTTCAAGCAGACATCGAAGCCATTCTGATTGGCTGAGGACAGGATGGGGCAGGACAGGGTAGCTGTTTGGCCCAGCCCAGAATCCTCTCCCTCTCTAGAGGGGAAAAGGGAGAGTGGCACAGCTCTGCGTCCAGAGTGTCCCCCAGCTGCCCTGTGGGCTTGTGCCCTGGGCAAGTGCTTGGCCACTTGGCCCCTCTGGAGCAGACACTTTGTGCCCCCCATCCCACCCCTCAGTATCAGCCCAGTACCAGCCCCTCCCATTGTGGGCCTCGGCTAGGGGGACCCAGGCACTCACCGCCTTCTCCCTGGTACACAGGCTTCTGCTGGGGCCACCAAGCCCCCGTGCCCCCTCCCATCCATAGTGCATGGTGTGTGGTGCCCCCAGGGCTCCAGGACAGATCAGGCCCCACCCTGTGTCTACCCCCATCCCCGCTGTGAACGTGCCACTGAATAAAGTCGGGGAAACGAGACCCTGGGTGTGTGTGCAAAGCCATGCGTGTGTAAGGCTGTTGCTGTGCCTGACACCGTCAGGGTGTGAAGGCGGGTAGAGCATGCCTCAGGCTGCCTCTGGACAAGGCCATCAGCAAGTGGCCGTCACTGTAGCACCTGTGACACCCTCCCTGAATATACAAAAGTCTATGGAAGTGTGAGGACTGTCCAAGCTTGAAGCTACTGGTATCTGAGGCCACTGCTGTGTGAAACTATGGGTGTTCCAAGGTGCAGAAGTTTTGGCAAAATTAGTAGTTGTTAGTGGTCAGAGGGTTGCTGAGGGCCTGAACGCAGGCAAGCCTGACTCCCACCCTGTGGAGTGGCTGTGGTGACCCCTCCTGGCCCACCCCGCCAGCCAGAGGCATCAGAAGTGGTGGGAAGGAAAAGGAAGCAGCCCAGTCCAGGTCAGCAGCTCTATTTACACAACAGCGTCGCCCACGCCCCACGTGGCCTATCACGGCTTCTTGGCTTTCTTCACAGAAGATGAGCTGGAGGCTGACTCCCTCCGCTTCCTCTGAGGAGACACAAAGTACTGAGGTCAGTGGCCCCAAGGCCTGAGTCCGGTCTGGTGTGTGCATTTAACACTCGTGGGGATGACACCCACTGGTCCACCCACTCCCAGCTCAGTCCCAGAGCCTCTCGGGGCTGATCATTCCTGTCCGCAGGTACTAGAAGGAGCGGAGCCAGGGCATGCTCTCCCAGCCTATCCAGGCTCTTACCGAATTGGGCGTGAGGGGTGCGCCCACCACATCGATGATGGTGTCCTTGGTGGGGTCAGGGCCAAGTCCAGGTTCAGGCACTGCTGGCTCAGCAGAGGCCGGGGCTGGGCCAGAGGCTGGTGTGGCAGGGCCACCCAGCACCCCAGCCCGGGCCAGTGCCTCGTGACGGTGCCGCAGCATCTGCAGCTCATACTCGCAGTTGGCACAGGCCTGCTTGAGCTCATAGAGCAGCACCAGGTCGCTTCGCAGCTCATTGAACATGTGCACCAGCTCCTCCGTGGGTGTCGGGCTCAGCTCTGCAGGGGGTGGGCAGCACAGGGGTGGAGCCACAGTGTGCTGGAAGCCCATCCTTGTGAACTGACCTCCCCGTGCCCGGCCTTCATCCGCAGCCCTGGGTGGATACAGCCTGTGGTGCCCAGTCTCCATACTCACCCACACCAAGCTCCAGCAGCATCTGTTCCAGGGCCTTGATCTTCTTCTGTCCCACGGAGCTTGGCAGCTTCATCTGTAATGACCCAGGCAGCTAAGCCCTCTCCCCAACAAGAGGCTTAGGATGAAGGGGACCAAGGGCAGCGGGAGGGTGGAAGAGGTAGAAGAGAGAAGTAACCCATGAAGGTCAGTATGGGCCAGAAAAGGGAATAGCCAGGAAGGAGAATATAGTGAAAGCTGTTACTTCAGCCTGGCCACATGCTCCTGAGATCCTGGAGAGGCCACATCTGTCTGCAGCAACCTCCCCTACCACTCAGCCCACCTGCCTGCAGCATGTGGAACCCAGAGCACAAGAGCTGAGGGCCCAAACACACCACAGGAGGTGACTCACGTACCCGCTGGCTCCGCAGCGTGACACCTGCAGACTTGAAGTCTGGAAACTTGATGCCTGCTGTCTCAGGAACAGCCTGGGAGAGAAGACATTATGGAGACCAGGGTGCCACGGGGAATGGGCCTAGGGTTAGTCCCAGCACCCCAGTAGCTCTAGGTACTCTTAGAGCCCTCCACTCTGAGGGCAACCCCTCTATCCTGAGCTAGGCTGGCTTAGCCCCCGCACCGGCTTCTCAGCCTCTTTTTTCTGGGGTAGCTTCTTCTTAGGGGCCTTGCGTTCCGTGCGCCGCTGCTCTGCAGTGGTGTCCGCTGCTGTAATCAGCTTCTGCAGGTCCTGGGTGCGTTTCTCCCGCTCCTTCTTCCGGGCCTCAATCTTGCGCAGCTCCTGTAGCAGGTACTCCTCCTCTGCCACCTGGGAGGTGAGAGATGCTAGGTGTGTGAGGGCACATGTGGGAGTGCGGGTGGACATGGCGGTGACAGGGTGCTGGGCTGCCAGTGAGGAAACCTGAGAAGTCAGGGGTCATGAGGGAGGTATAGGGCCATGGAGAGCAGGAGAATGACCCACGTAGGGATGGGCTTGGGGGCAGGTCACAGTATCAAGGAAGGCAGGGGGACCTGGGAGAGGGAATTGAGTGCATGGAGGATGGGGGCAATTGGCAAGGGGTTTGGGTCATGGAAGAAAGGTATGTGGGGCTTGGGGCTGACCTGCTCTGGGGTCCGGTTGTAGAGACGCTCTAGCTGTTCCTTCCGCCGTCGCTCATGACCAGCATCAAATACTGGTATCTTAAGGTCTGTGCCTGGCACAGCCCGCACGTTGGCAAGCTTAGCACAGATGTGGTAGTACCGCTCCTTCAGGTCTTCCACAGAACGCTTCTGAGAATCAAGACCAGGCAGGGGAATGAACATTCAGGGGCACTTGGAAGGGATGGCATGAAGGTCAGTTCCAGGGGTTGGGCACACGTGCAGATGCACAACAGCTCACCTTGAACTGCTGGTGGTCATATCGGTCGTGGATAACTACGAAACGCAGGTCAAAGCGGCGGCTGAGGTCAAAGAGGTGGTCAGTTTCTGCCTTGGTCCAAGCGTCATCGTGGAGATAGAGCTGGTACTCCTGCTCTGAATACACAGGCACCTGTACAGTCTACTGGTAAAAAATGACACAACAGGGGCATGCTCACGTCATGTCATGTCACATCATGTCCAGCAGACTGCAGCCCGTGACCACAGCTGCTCCTGTTTATTGCCAGCACCTGGGTTACACAAAAGTAATCCTCTGCCTATGCCCCTGCAGAAGGCAGCCTGGCGTAAGGAGAAAACCCATTTGCTTGACTATAGGCTTTGGAACTATAGCCTGCCTGATTCACCCCAGGAGCAACTTCACCATGTCTTCAGCTCCAGAGCCCCAGTAATGCAACACGTGCTCCTGCCCCCATGGTTAAGGTGAGGGCCCCACATGTAAGCACTTCTGTGAGTCCAAAGGTCAACTGTGGGGTTAGGCAGATGGCTAAATACCTGGAGAAAGGCTCAGGAGCCCCCCTAGTCTATGCAACTCTTATCTAAAGCACTACTGCCACCCAGTGGTGACAGAGGGACTTGCAACTTCCCCAGAGTTCCCCAAGGTCACGCATCTCAACAGAATCCCGGCCTGAATCCCAGTCCCAACATATGCAACCCTGCCAATGTCCCTCCCTCTCTTCTCCTCCACCCCATCCCCTAGGCCTCCCCCTAGAGAAAAACAGCACCACCACCAGCTGGGTCTGACAGAGACCAAGGAAGGGTGTCTGGCCCAGGGAGTTTCTCTTCTCTGTTAAAGACCACAACCAGCTCTGAACCTGCTCTCAAGACATTTCCAGCTGCCTCTTGGACATCTGGAGGTCCCACACACACCTCAACCTTAACATGCTCAGTACTGAACATCACCCTCCCTCAAATGTGCATCTCTCCCAGTCCAGATCTCAGTCAATGTCACCATCGCCAGCCCCAGTTGCCTAAGCACCTTTAATTCCTACCTTTCCCCTTGACTCTTCCCTTTCACCAAAACTAACTTTTACCTCCAAAATTTCTATCTCCATTTCCACATTCCAATCCAGACCACCACGATCACTTGCCTGGATCAAAGAAACAGCCTCCCTACTGGTGTCTGCCTACATTCAATCCTCCTCCAATCAATTCTCCATTTGCAGCCAACACTTGATCTCTTTAACAGTGCTACTTAAGGGGCAGTCTGCAAACTAGTGCTGTTTGCAAACAGTTATCACTGGTCTATAAGAATGGAAATTGAAAGTAGGTGCTGGAAAACTTTTATAACAATTGTATAGTAATTGTGTGCTGCTGAATTTAGTACGAAGAAATATAGACATATTTAGTTTTTTCTTATAATTTTATTATCTTTATCAGTCTCTGATGGTTTGGAAATCAAAAAGAAAAACATCCTTATCTTCACCACAGATAATCTGAGGTACACTGTTCTAGTGTTCAAGAATACGTATCTTATCATGTCACCCAACCATACCTATTAAACCTCTTGGGCTAGGCATGGTGGCTCATGCCTGTAATCCTAGCACTCTGGGAGGCCGAGGTGGGAGGATCACTTGAGGCCAGGAATTCCAGATCAGCCTGAGCAAAAGTGAGACCCATCTCTACTAAAAATAGACAAATTAGCTGGGCATTGTCATCCTAGCTACCAGGGAGGCTGAGGCAGGAGGATCGCTTGAGCCCAGGAGTCTGAGGTTGCTGTGAGCTAGGCTGATGCCACTACACTCGCTCGAGTGACATATTGAGAACCTGTCTCAAAAAAACAAAAAAAAATCCAAAAACTCTCAAAGGTTCCCACCTGCAAGATAAAGCACCTTCTATATAATTCGCAAACTCCTCAAGAGCAAGGGTTATCTGGTTCATTTCCTACCTTTAGGTCTCAGTACATTATAGGTATCAACATCTACTGACTCAATCAGTGAACATGAATAAATAGCCTGGCTTCCTCCTGTAGCTGTCCCTCATGGACCCTAAGTTCCAGCCAAATAACTAGCAGTTTCTGGAACATACCAGGCTCCCCTCTCAGCCTTGGTTCTTGCCTGAAATGTCTTCCCACTTCCATGTTCCTTCCACCTAGATAACTTTTTCATTCTTTTGGTCTCTTTCAGGCATCGTCTCTTCTGGTCTCTAGTTTCTCTGGCTTGGTTAAGTATTCCTCCTATGCATTTTAACTCCATTTAATTAAAAAATACTCAGGAACTGTGTAGCCAGTCCTGCTCTCAAGGAGGTCACAGTCAAGTAAGGAAGACATTCTTTCATTCATTCAACAAATATTTGTCATGGGCTTGTAACATCTATACTGGGGACACACTGCTAAATATGACAGGGTCTTGGCTTCTCAGAGCTCACACTCCAGCTGAAAAAATAATTTTAGTACAGTGTGGCCAGTTTGATGACACAAGTATGCTTAGGGTATAACAAGTGACACCTGACCCAGCTTGGGGACAAGAGATGGTAAGAGAAGAATTAACTTGGGCCTGGTTCAGTCTTAAGGTAACACAGAAGTTCACTAGTGAGGGAAGATAGACAGAAAATCCTAGGCAGAGGGGCAGTACAAATAGCCCTGAGAGAAAGAGCCTACTATGCACAGGCTTAGCAGTGAGGGACTTGTTGGGAAAACAAGCAAAGGGAGAGACAGGAAGAGGCGTGAAAAGGTGAGTCAACAGAGGCCAGCTGCTAAGGAGCCCTGCTGAAGAGTCCAGAATTCAGCCTGAGGGTGATTCGAGCCAGTAAGTTTCATTTTAAGACCAAATGGCCATGTTTCTCTTTAACAAAGACCACCCTGACAGCAGTGAGGACACAGGAGTGACACAAGTCTAAGAGACCAAGTGTCAGATTTTAGAAACAATGTAGGTGAGAGGTGAAAAGGCCTGAACTAAAGCAGCACAGTGGAAGTCAGAGAAAAGGGCAGACTGGAAAGGCTTTAGGAGATAAAAACCATAGGACATGGATGTGCAGAGTGAGGGAAGATGCTATCATAGGTGACTCCTATGTTTCTGGCTAGAGCAAGAGTGGATGGGGAGCCACTGACTGAGAAAGGGACATCCCAGGAGGAGCAGTATTGAAGAGGAAGATGATTAATTCACTTCACTCCAACTTCAGTCTCCACCCTGTAGTCACTAGGATCTTTCTAAAACTTAAACTGATTCTTGCTGGGCACAGTGGCCCACACCTATCATCCCAGCACACTGGGAGGCCAAGGCAGAAGGATCACTTGAGATCAGTTCAACACCAGCCTGGGCAACAAAGCAAGACACCGTCTCTACAAAAATTTTTTAAAAATTATCCAGGCATGGTGGCATGTGCCAATAGTCCTCGCTATTTGGGAGGCTGAGGTGGAAGGATTGCTTGAGCCCAGCAGTTTGAGGCTGTAGTAAGCTATAATTGCACCATTACACTCCAGCCTAGATGACAACAGGACAGTGACAGAGCAGGACCCAGTCTCTAAGAAAAAACACAACTGATTCTGGCACTACTCTGCTTAAAGTCCGTCACTGGCTACCTAAAGACACCAGGGCAAAGCCCAAATTCCTGAGTCTGCTTGCCACGGCCCAGCCTGGCCTGGCCCAGCCCCTGCTGACCTCTCAGGCCTCATCTCCCACCATATCCTACCTTGGGCTTTAGGCTTCATCAACATGGAAATGGCCATAGCATCCCATACATATAACCTTTAAAAACTTGTTATTTATGCCTTTGCTCATGCTGTTCCCTATGCCTGGAAACGTCACTGCATTCCTAATACCACCTGGTGACATCAGCCTTCAAGACTCAAGGGGATGGGTATATACAACCACAACGAGTAAGATGTGCAACGTTTAGGGGATGGACATGCTTGAAGCTCTTACTCAAGGGGGGAGGGGGGGCATGGACAATATATGTAACCTTAACACTTGTACCCCCATAATACGCTAAAATAAAAAAAATTAGGCTGGTCCGATGGTAGTGGGTTATCAGAACTTATTCACATTAGTGTCACTAAAGTTGGTATTCAACCCCCCACTGCTAAATTTGACTGGCTTTAAAAAAAAAAAAAATTAAAAAATAAAAGACTCAACTCAGGCTCTAACTACTCTATGAAGCTTCTATGACCTTCAGGTCCTCCCAATATAGCAGATATCCCACCCAATTATAATTGTCTGTACCTCCCCTGACCCATCCCCAACAATATGGAGAGCTTTTTGAGGGTAGACATTGTATCTGATTCATTTTTGTGACCTCAGTGCCTAGGGCTTGACTTGGCATGGAATAGTATTTACTTAATAATGAATGAACATTCTTTTGTCTCCACCTCAATTTGTCTCATCCTTTCCTCTCACCCCCTCAGATGCCTCGCCTCTTGCCTGTCCATTCTCAGTCTTCCATCTCCAGCCTCTTCCTCCACTGGATCTAAGGCGCTTAAGGATGACGGGGAGATGGAGGAAAAACCCATATTTGAGGCAGGTGGGAGAATGATGGGTTCACACCTGGCCATGCTAAGTCTGAAAAGCCTGTGGGCCATCCAGGGGGAGGTGTCCAGGTACAGCTGGATCTACTGGGCTGGAAGGAGAGAAATCAGGCCTTGGGGTCCTGGGTTTGAGCCCCTAGTGCTTTTAGGCTCTAAGTCTAGGCTGTTCCAGGCTGCAGCAGCTACAAGCCCACACTGTACAGTGGCTTATGTAATGGGCTAGGAAATCCTAGCCCAATCTAGCTCTGCCTCTCACTGGCCTGGTGAGTCTGAGCAAGGCCCTGTTCTGCTGAGCCTTAGTAATCGAGACCAGAAATAACTCAGCTTGGACTAGGGGGCTGGCACAGAGAATGAAGAATATAGGCAGAAATGTGATTTATTAATATTATGGAAACCGAATCAGCAGGACTCAATTATTAGATCTATCACTGAGGTCTAGCTACCTTCTTAGAGAGGCCTTCCCTGACCACCCTATCTAAAGTAGGTTTCCCCTATACCTACAAGTTCACTCTTTATCTCATTTCATATCTATTCATATCCTGGTTTCACTTTATTGATAGCTCTTATCTGAAAGACTCCAATTTGTTTTATTTCCTCGCATGTTTATCTGCCTTCCCCTGCTGCCCTTGTCCTGTTGTTGATTGAAACAGTGTGCGAGCTAAGGGAGAAAACAAAGTCAAGGATGATTCCTGAGTTTCTGGTTTGGGCAAATGGGTGGATAATGGTGCCACTTACTGAGATGGGGAACAGGTTTGAGGCTGAAAATAGAGGGAAGATTATGAGTTCTGTTCAAGGGTACCTACTTGATATGACGTACCTGTGGGGCATTCAGAGATATTAGTAAATGATTGGCTATGTGGCAATCATTGCTCTGGGTTGGAGATATTACATTAGGGTCACTGGCATATAGAGGGTTACTGAAGCCACAGGGTAAATGAGACACACTGGGGAGACAGTACAGAGTGAGAGGAGCAGAGCACCTAGGATATGGCTCTGAGGAACAGCAACATTTGAAAGACCAAGAGAAGCCATGAAAAACCAGAGCAGGTCCAGGGAAGGATAGGATCCCATGGGCAGAAAAGACACAAAGAGTCCCACTCTGCATGTATTTGCCACAAGGACTGAGTAGATAACCATGGTTGGGCCTGAGCATGCCTCTGGATCCAACCCTAGGAGACTGGAGAGCTCTCCCAGTGGCTCAAAGTGGGTGGGCAATCCTGGCCTGTGCCTGAATGGAGGTAGCTCACCTTATTGAATCTGGCGAAGGGGTAGTCCTTGCCTTCCTCTGCTGCCCTTCGCCAGTGGAAGAACATAGCTCCATCTTTGCGGGCCGGGTTGGTGAATGGCATCCACTTCCAGGGCCGCACCTTCTTGGAGCCCAACTTGGCTTTCACTGTGCGGTAGCCCTGACCAGTGTCACTGGGTAGCAGTGGAGGTGCATCCCTGGCAGTAGGGTTTAGGGAGGTGGGAGGTTAGAATCAGTAGGTGTACGAGAGAGCCTTTCAGCTCAGGGAGCTGATCTACCCTGCAGCAAGGAAGTCAGGTCCTAGAGCATGAGATCTGAGCTCCTCCTGCATCCTACTAAGCAAGCAGGAGCCCTGGCTGGAGAGGGCAGGGGAAGAAAGAGAAAGAACTGGAAGAGAAATTAGGAGTTAGGGACATGGCAGGTAAATCGGGGGCCAGAGCGTGAGGAACCTGGGATTCCAATACTTGCTTCTTGTCAGAGTAGAGTAGTGCATAGACCTCCCGGTGCATGCCCTCAGGCCTCTTGAAAGTCAATGTCTCAGAGGACTTCTTGGACTTTTTCTGAGAAAGGAAACCACAGAAAGGAACCATGACCTAGACCCCATTTCCTGAAAATTATTTAGCCCAGCTCAATCCCTGAACAAACCAGTACCTACAAGAACAATGACACACATACTGACATATTATAATGCCACATTATAAAGGTAAACCCAATCACAGGGACACCCCCAGTTTGAGCAGGTCATTCTCTTCCCCATCCTACCATCTCTCAGACTGTCACAATGTCTTGGTCTCTCCCCACCCAACATCTTACAAATGTCATACCCTCATGGTCCCCACCATCTCCCACAGAGTCCCACCTCCTCTGTCCCATCTCATCAAATGTGACACATACTCGCTGTCCCGTTATGTCACACCTTTTATCTCCCATCTCACTAAAAGTATAGCAACTCATCATTTCCCCCATCTCTCCTCTGTTGTCACCCCTCCCCACCCCGTTACTCCCCCTACCCAACTCTCTCAGAAGCCGCTGCTACCTTGTCCGGGTTGATAATGTCCTTCTTGCTGATGGTCCCTGAGGCTGCATCCCCCTCTGGACCCCCGAGTTCTAGAATATCGCGTACATCTGCGCCAGTAGCCATCGCGCCAGAGAGATGGGGGAGCGACCTGAGGTCAAGGGTCAGTGCCTGAGGAGGGACAGGGCTTGGGTCAGGGGGCGGGGACACTAGAGACCCAAGTGGGGTCGGGGTGAAGAGGCAGGCCGCGAGGAGGAGGGTGGGCCAGGTCAGGTCGGGGTCCTGCCTGTGTCCCGCCGCTTGAGCGTCCCTAACGGCTCCATCAGCCTCCTCGCCCCCACCCCAACGCCTCCACACCTGGGTCCCCCGGCCGAGGCTCCCGTTGTCGCTCCCCTAAGCCAGCAAAGCCGCGGGTAGGAACTTCCGGTCGTGCGCATTAGAAAAACGGCCGTCAGGAACACTTCCGGTCTGTGCTTGGAGGAAACGAAGCCGGCTTGCAGAGCAGTGTGAAAGCTACTGACCGCGAGCAGCTTGTCACTGTTCTGTGCTCCCGTTACATGTTGGTGCGCTGCCTGCTTTCTAACATTTTTCCTGTTCGTTGCTTCGTTGCATCTCGGGCAATGGAAAGAGAGCCCAGAACCCTGTGACCTTGGGAAGCCACTTAATTTTTCTGAACCTGTTTCTTCATTTGCAAAATGAAAATTGTAATGGTACCTGCTTAAATGGAATACCAGTATTCCATGTAAAACATTAGCACAGTGCTTGGGACATTTACTTTTTTTATTAAATGAATTAATGGTATTAATTACCGCTGTTCATTAAGTGCTAAAATGTACCAGGCACTGTGCAAAACTTGGAAGTGAAGAGGTAAACTGTGATAAGCTTGAAGGTGAAGAAATGAAAGCGCAGCTTCCCAGGGTGGCTGTCGGTGTGGAGTAAGGTCTGGAACCTCACTTGCACCTCCTCTGAACGAGGTCGTGGCCTCGTGGGGCTTTCCTGGAACCCAACTTCCTGGAACTTCACTAGTCCAGGAGATAGCTGCACTAGTTTGAGTTACAAAGAGGCTCAAAACACCGCCCTAAGCAGGGAGCAGCTAGAAGTATCCCTCAAGGGTAAAAACTTGCTTATCTCTCTGGAGAGAGACATTCAGGAGATCCTGAGGAAGAGCAGAGAGAGGGACAGGGGAAGCAGCTCCCAGCTTCAGCCTCTGCAAGCCAGCCTGCCAACAGGGAAGACACATGGGCAAAAAATGAGGAGAAGTGAGGAGGGGGGTTGGTAAGGCATTAAGGAGGCCAGACCCCGAGCCAAGACCTACCAAAAATCCCAGGAGGGGCTAGTGGAGCAGACAGCGCTGCACAAGCTAGCTATAAATGTTGTAGCCTGTTCTGTCTAGAGAGAAGGGGGATACAACAGTTGCAGCCACAGCCTGGCTAGACCCCAAAGTTTTGGAGAACTAGGCCTGGAGGAACGAACATTGCCCTGTTCCTGGGGCCTGATTCCTGGGTAGATCCTCTGAGTTCCAAACAATTTCTAGGGAATCTGAAGTCTTGCAGCAAAATTTGCCCAAAGAGTAAGAGAATGGTCCTTTGATACATAGGGTACAGAGCATTGGGAACAGGCCCTGTGCCTCTGCCTCAAACACTTGACACTACTTGTTTGTAGTTGATTAATTGTATAATTCTTTGTGAAATAGATATCTCCCTTGATAGACTCATTTCTGAAGACAGGGATGATGGTATGTAAATGAACATATGTGTCAGGCTTTATTCTAGACTCTGGGGATATACAGTGGGTAAAGGAGATACAAATATCTCCTGATGCAGCTTATATTTAGTGGAGAAAGAAACTGAGCACGTAGACAATAAAGTTGATCATGTAAGTATTGATGGTGACAAGAGCTATGAAGGAAATAAAGTAGAGTAGCAGGATGGAGGACTACTTTACATAGTGTGGTCAAGGAAAGTTTCTCTGGGGAGTTGAACTCTGAGCTGGGATTTAAATGATGAAAACTGCCACAGAACATCCGGGGGAGGAATGTTTCAGCCAGGTGGAAAAACAGTGTAAAGTCCCTAAAATGGAAGGATCTCTTCATGTTAAAGGTGCATAGAGAAAGAAGGCCAGTGTGGAGTGTCAGGTGAGAAGGGGGAGAATAGGGTGACTTGAGATCAGAGGCAGGCACTGTGGTCCATGGGAAGGAGTTGGGTTTGGCCCTAAGGGCAATCGTAGGCCATCATCCCTTCTCCTCATCAACACTGTGAGCTCCACAAGAGTGGCACTGGGTCTCCTCATTGTCTGAGCTCTCCCAGTGGGAGAGGCACATGTGCCCTATTTGAAGGGGCTCGTTAGAAAGAAACTGTGGGGAAGAGGCAGTCAGGATGTGGTGTGATGGAGTTCTGACCTGGTCTTGCTCAGGTTAATAATAAAGAACATTTTCATACTAATAAGATAAGAACAAATATCCCAATTTTTTGAATGGGCAGAAAACATTAGGAAAGTTTTAGAAGAAGCACAACAGCCAGTAAATGTACAGGTAAGCATTTAACCTCACTGGTATTCAAAGAAATTAAAATTTTAAAACCTTAGTGGGATCTGAAGTATTTTGATCACAGGTAATAAAAAAAAAAAAAACCTTAGTGGGATACCATTTTTGCCTATCAGGTAGGTAAAACTTTAATAGCAGTACCCATTCTTGATAAATATATGGCTGAAATAGACACTAGCATACACTGTTAGTGGAAATGTAAACCATTCAATGTTGTTCATTAATTTATTCAACAGTATTTGTTTGGTACTTAATGCATGCCACTTAGGTAAATGCCACTGTATGCTGGACACTGGGCGAGGCCTTGGATATACAGCAGTAAAGACGACAATCATGATCTCTGCCTTTGCTGAGTTAGCAGTCTCTTCCTTTTCATAAACAGGTAAATGTATAGAAAAAATTCTGGAAGGGAATAAACAAAAACGATGGCATCAGATGTTTTTATCTAGGCATCTTATGTTTTCTTTCTTTTGCTTATAGGTATTTTCTAAGCTTTCTATAATGAATGTGTACATCTTTTACAATAAAAGGGAAGAAGGAAGGGAAGGAGGGAAGACAGACGGACTCTGCTGTGGAGGGTGGGCTGGGCCAGAGTTCAGGAGACTGATTAGGGGGCAGTTGTGACTTTCTAGGCAAGAGACTTTGGGAAACTGAACTGAGGCTGCAACAGTGGGGATGGTTTCCAGAAATATTCAGAGATAGATGATTATATTATCTGCAAATAATGATCATTTTATCTCTCCCCTTTTAATTTCTATACCTCATTTCTTTTTTTTCTTATTATTCTTTTATTTTTTTTTGACAGGAATTCTCAGAGACCATCTCATTTCTTTTTCTTTTAGCATTTGCCAGGACATCAAGTAATAAGTTAACAGCAGCTCTGGTCACGGGCTTCCTTATCTTATTCCTGATCTTAAGAGGTGTGCACTTAAAGTTTTTCTATTAAACATAATGTTTGCTCCAGGTTTTTGGTATATTCTCTTTCCCAAATGAAGAAACATTACTCCTCTTAGGTTTCTAAGAGTTGTCTATTCCTTAGTCATAAATAGATGATAACATTGGCCGGGCTCACACCTGTAATCCTAGCACTCCGGGAGGCCGAGGCGGGCAGATTGCTCGAGTTCAGGAGTTTGAAACCAGCCTGAGCAAGAGCAAGACCCGTCTCTACTATAAATAGAAAGAAATTATTGGCCACTAATATATATAGAAAAATTAGCCGGTATGGTGGCGCATGCCTGTAGTCCCAGCTACTTGGGAGGCTGAGGCAGGAGGACTGCTTGAGCCCAGGAGTTTGAGGTTGCTGTGAGCTAGGCTGACGCCATGGCACTCACTCTAGCCTGGGCAACAAAGTGAGACCCTGTCTCAAAAAAAAAAAATAGATGATAACATTTAGCAAAAATAATTTTTCCATCAATTGATATATTCATACGAATTATCCCCTTTAGCCTATTGATTTAAAGTGATAGATTGTCTGATGTTGCATTCATGGAATGAAATACACCTGATCACAGTACATTTTTAAAGAAAGTATACTATTGGATTTAGTTAGCTGATATTTTACTTAGGATTTTTAAAAATTAAAATCTATTTATAACTGAAATGAGCCTATACTTTTCTTTTCTTGTAACTATCCTTATCTGATTTTGGAATCAACATTATACTAGTCTCCTAAAATGAGCTGGGAATTGATTGAGCTGGTACATTTAAGAATGTACACTTTATTGTATGAAAGTTATACATGATGTACAACTTCACTCATATGAAGTTCAAAATCAGACTAATCTATCATGACAGAGGGCAGAACAGCAAGAGGGACACAAAGGGGAAACAGGCAGGGGGGAGCCCCCCTGAGCGTGGGGAATGCCCCATATCTTGGTCTGGGTGCTGTATATGGGTATATACATACGTATGTAAGCATTTATTGAGCTGGTATATTTAAAAATATACACTTTATTGTATGAAAGTTATACCTCAATTAAAAGTAAGCAAGTACTAACCATATAGGGAGCCAACCATATAGAAATAATTGATAAATTGGACTATTAATATATAAAGGTAAATTACAACCCTAGGGTTAACAGAAGTTAAATCTTAAGCTCTGGTGTTTTGTGAACCAGACAACAAGGTGGTGTATTAATAGACACCTTCCTCAAACCTAATGAATAAAACTCATCAAATAAAACAAAACACTGGACAAAATCAGAAATCACTAAACATACTTATGTGGCCAAATGTGTGCTTATGAACAGGGATAGATCCCAAAGAGGAACTGGAGCAAAACTGACAACTTTCTCTGCCTCCCTTCTTCTGCACTCCCTACTCGGTGTGCAAATTGTATCCCCCAATCAAGAAGATGGGAGAGGAAAAGCACTTGTTCCTGGAAATAAAAAAACAATACAAAAATAGGGCCACACTGACTAGTTTTATTTTATTTTATTTTTCTTTCAAAACTAAGTTTCATATGACACATGACTAGTTTTAAACCTGAAATAAACAAAACCATGATCCTTTCCTGTACATTACTGACTCCCCAGCAAAGACAACTTTATTCCTGATTTTTGCAACACTGCTCTCTGACAATATATCATGCTTTTTAGATATGATAATTATGTGAGAAAATTGCTGTTTTTCCACCATGAACAAATTGGTAAGTGTGCTCACCTTCTTTATATTTTTTTATTTGGTGAGCCAATCCTTCTAAAGTCTGACTCTCTTAAAAGACTTCTTTCGAAGTCAATTCTTTTGCTCTTCTAGACTAACTAAATAAAAATTAAAGTAAGAGACAAGGTGCTGCTATACCTTGTACCACCCACCTTGAAGAAAGTTACAAAGCTTGGTGGTTCTCTTTGGATTTGGAGGCATGTGTGCTACATTTGGTCATCTCTGACACTTTTACCAGATAATCTATCAATTTTGAGAAGGGCTTGGCCAAAAAGGGAGTCTATGCAGTGCAAGCAACTTAGACCTGATTTGGGTCTGATTATCCAACAGGGCCAATGATATTGGAAGTATTTTGTGACAAAGATCTTAAGTATGCCCTCTGGCAATCCCAATGGCAGAGTCAGAGCACAGCTAACCAGTGTTCTGATGTTAGGCTATGATCTCACCTGCAAACAAGTGGCCACCACTTGAAAAGCAGTTTCTGCCTTACACCTGGCCCCTGGTAGAAGCTGAATGCCTGACCACGAGACACTAACTGGAACTGTCCAGCATGAACTGAGAATCATCCAACCCACTGAACCATAAATGTGGGAATGCAAGTCAGCATTTCATTATAAAATGTACTGGGTATATATGAGACCTTCCTTCTTTACCATTATAAATACTTAAAGCTATACATTTCACTCTAATCACTGCTTTAGCTATACCTGCAGTATTGCATTTTCATTATCATTCTAATTTCCTTTGTGCTTTCTGCTTCAATTCATAGATTACTTAAAGGTATGTTGCTTAATATCCAAATATTTGGGAGTTTTCTAGATATCTTATGATCATTGATATCTAATGTAATTCCATTGTGGTCCATACGATATAAGTTCCAGATGATTTCATGGAATCATGTTTAGATCACCATGCTGGTGGAGTTGATAGCAAGCCCAGGAGGATGACTGTAAAAGCCCCCTGGATTTTTTAAAAAAGTCATGCCCTCTTTGGCAAATACCTGATCTTCCTTTGAGAAATAGCTTCATCTTATTCCTGGGCCCTGAAGAAACTGAATGCTTGTCCATGGGACAACCAGGTTGCCTTGCAAACTGAACTGCTCTCATACCTGCAAACTATTTGACCCACTGTAGAGTCTGTAGTGATTTAAATTTATTGAAACTTGATTTATGGTCCATTAGTGAATATACCAAGAATATTTGATATATCATGGCCGGCCTCGGTGGCTCACGCCTGTAATCCTAGCACTCTGGAAGGCCAAGACGGGCGGATGGTTCAAAGTCAGAAGTTCGAAACCAGCCTGAGTAAGAGCGAGACCCCGTCTCTACTAAAAATAGAAACAAATTAACTGGCTAACCTATATATACAGAAAAAATTAGCTGGGTATGGTGGCGCATGCCTGTAGTCCCAGCTACTCGAGAGGCTAAGGCAGATGGATCGCTTGAGCCCAGGAGTTTGAGGTTGCCGTGAGCTAAATTGATGCCACGGCACTCCAGCCTGGGCAACAGAGTGAGACTCTGTCTCAAAGAAAAAAAAAGAATGTGTATCCTGCAATTGTTTGGTATAGTATTCTGTAAATATTAATTAGGTCCAGAAGATTGACACTATTATTCATATCATCTACGTTTCCTTTGATTTCTTTTGTCTATCGTTCTATCAATTGCTGAGAGGGAGGGTGATTGTGGAATTATCCATTTCTTTAATTCTGTCCGATTTTGCAATATATTTTGAAATTCTGTTATTAGGCACATACACGTTTATAACTGTAATGTCTTTCCGGTGAATTGACCTTTTTATCATTAAGAAATATACAGCATTATCTTTGGTAACAATCTTTGTCTTGAAGTGTAGTTTATCTGATATTATAGCTACCTCAGCCTTCATAAGCTTACTGTTTGCATTGTATATTTTCTTCTTTTCATTTTCTTTCAACTTACTTGTATGCTTATATTTAAAGTGCGGTGATTTGGGTTTTGCTTTATTTTACCCATTTAAACAATCTCTGCCTCTTGAGACCATAGGTGTTGGTTGAGGGATGGGCAGCAAAGGAGGGCACGCTGGGGCCTGGTCTCTTTCATGCCCTTTCTACCTGGAGGTGGAAGGCTAATGAACACTACACACTTTACTGTGGGTTAGATAGTTTGCAGGTATGAGGACAGTTCAGTTTGCAAGGCAACCTGGTTGTCCAATGGACAAGCATTCAATCTCTATCAGGGGCCAGGAGCAAGACGAAGCTGTTTCTCAAAGGAAGATCAGTTATTTGCCAAAAGGGGCATGATTTTCTTCGCAAATCCTAGGGCCTTCTTCTGCCATGTTCCTCCTGCTGTCAACTCTATCCACGTGGTGATCTAAACATGATTGGATCTGGTGGGTCCTGGAGACAGGTGCCATATCAACTTACATCGCAGCCTAGACCCACTAGAGAATTTTCCCTTACTCTGGTGTCCTCTGCAAGCCTTTCAGGTAACTGAGTGAATGGGTGGATGCAGGACATCCAAATGTGATATATGTTGCCTTAAAATTCCAAGATAGCCACCAAGACCCATATTTCAACTAAGCTAGGATGCCTTCAGCTGCAAGGTGCACCTTCATTTGTATTGCACTATGAAAGCATTTTTTTTTTTTTTTTGAGACAAGCACCACAAAACAATAATGTTGCCCAGCTAGAGTGGAGAGCCGTGGCATAACCAACAACAACACAGCACCCTCACAAGACTCCTGGCTCAAGCAATCCTGGCTAGCCTCAGCTCCCAGAGTAGCTAAGAGAGATTACAGGCATGCCCACCATGCCCGGCTAATTTTTTCTGTATATATGTTAGTTGCTCAATTAATTTCTTTCTATTTATAGTATAGACGGGTCTTTCTCTTGCTCAGGGTGGTTTTCGAACTCATGACCTCGACAATGCGCCCTCCTCGCCTCCAGAGTGCTAGGATTACAGTGTGAGGCCACCGCGCCCGGCCTATAAAAGCATTTTTTTTTTTAAGGATAAAGATTGTGTAATATGTAAAGCATTTTATTTTTTTTTTTAAAACACTTCAATTGCCGGGCCATTGTGGCCCTCATCAGCCTGTCTAATCGCTAGCTCTCTGGGAGGCCCCCGAGCGCCCGGGCCCCGGATTGCTCCGAGGTCAGGAGTTCGAAATCCCAGCCTGAGCAAGAGCGAGACCCCGTCTGCGACTATAAAATAGAAAGAAACCCCCTTGGCCAACTAATATATAACATAATAAAATACGTGGCATGGTGGCGAATGCCTGTAAGTCCCAGCTACCGGGAGGGCTGAAGGGCAGCAGG